GGAGTAGTGTATCGAGACTGTCCTTATGATAGAAATATGTACATAAATGAGAAAACTTGAATACAAATAAATCCTAGCCACATCTTTGTATTGAGATTCTACAAATGAATAAATTAAGTGCCAATATGATACTAATCTATTATATTATGCATTGAAGAAGAGCTAGTATCATAAATTGATATTATCATACAAATGATGAGGCGCGGAACACCACATCATTCCTTTGTTCCACACTTGCCAGGCGAGGCTTGCAGGACAGCCATGCAAACCTCAACAAGGTGGAATGCCCGGATGGTCGCACCATGGGTGTTGATGTTCAGTGCTCGCTAGAAAGTGGAGGCGAAGGGACACTAGAAGATGAGATGCTCAGCAGTCTCCAGGGGTCAGGGCAAAGATCACAACCAACCTCCTCGTTCGCGATGATGGTTTTCCGAAGGGGGATGTCACACGCGCGGATGCGGGCAAGGGTGAGCATCCAAGTGAAGAATTTGACCCATAACAGCACCCTGGAAGCCCAAATCGTGGCACTGTATGGTGGGCACACCCCCATCATGGGACAACTCGTATAGACGGTCAGTCAACAGAGCACCACACACACCACCACATAGTGTAAGCCTTGGGAAGGCGAATCAAGGTGACCATGTTCTGAACTGCCCGGTGCTGCACCTCACCCGCAGTTGTATTTTGTTGTCTTGGGACCGAAACTTTGTATTTTTATGTAGCCTACAACTTATTTTTGTTATGGAAAAGCTGATGTGAAAATGCTGTTGTGGAAAAGCTGGAGGCCGTTTGGTAAAACAGTCCTGAAACTGTGGATTTGGCTGTGAATTGTCTATAACACCCATGGGTTCTCATTGAATATGTTTATATAGTAATTGGAATTAAAGAAGTGATATGTACATTTGTAGGTAACTGAACCATCATTTTCCAAAGGAAAATTATAACAATGTAGGCAATCCATATAGCTAACACATACGCAATGCTAGTTGGTGCAGAATTGCAGATTCCAGGTATAGCGAACTAGCCTTCCTTTCCTTTCCTACTTATATCACACCTACGAAGGTCCATGGAAATTATCAATCGAGTAGCCGCTAGCCACTCGCCACTCATGGAGGTAGCAGCCACTCCGCCAAGACGTCCGCGCTCTGTCCATGTGTCGGCAGAGATGGAATGTGCTGACAGTTCCATGGCGGTGGAGCCGGAGCCCATGAGCCCTACCGGAAGAATCTTGGAGGAGATGGGTGTCTGCATCGTCGTCCTGATGGGGCTCGGCACGCCAGTAAACCTACCCGTCTTCCGCGCCGGCATCGAAACAGAACTGGTCACCCGATTCCCGCGCTTCCGCAGCGTTCAAGTAATTACAAGAACTTGCGTATAGTCTGTTTCATTCTTGTATATGTTTCTGAAATAATTTACCATCTGCTTCTATATATATCATAATCATCTGCCCATAATATTGCATGTAATAAAAGGTAATGGATGGATCCAAGGACGGCAAACCAGGATGGGTGCAAACAAAGGTGAACGTGGACGACCACATCGTCTTCCCTGTGCTTGATCCTGCTGCAGTGGTTTTTGACCCGGAAAAGACCGTGGAGGACTACGTGGCGTCCCTGTCCACGCTTCCAATGGACAGGCGTCGCCCTCTTTGGGAGTTCCACTTCCTCGACTTCCCAACCTCTGAGGCGACCTCCACGGCCGTGCTCCGGCTCCACCACTCCATCGGCGATGCCATGTCAATCATGACACTCTTCATGGCGTCGTCATGCAGCACAGCTGACCCAGCTAGGCTTCCGGCCATGCCGCCGCCGCCCAAGCGCACTGGCGCCATCTACCAACCGCAGCCACGACCTGCGCTGTCTTCGTTAGGCGATTATCTGGCGTGGGCATGGTCCTATTTTGTGCTGGTGTGGCACACGCTAGTGGACATCATATTGCTTGCTGCCACCGTACTGTTCCTGAGTGATCCACGCACGCTCTTGACACGTGGAGACAACGGCGAGTCTCACCGCCGTAAGCGTTTCGTGCATCGGAGCATTAGCCTTGACGATGTCAAGCTCATCAAGACTACCATGAACTGCGTAAGTAAAGCCGTTCAAACTTTATATTATCTAGGTGAAACAACGCTACAAATAAAATTAATAAAAACCGAGTTCGTACAAAAACCGCACCTTAGTTAAACAGGTGAATCCATAACATATGTACACTAATGCGCACCCTCCTGTTATAATTCTTTGTATGTTTGTAGTTGACGATTAGATCAAAGTTTTAAATAGCATTGCTATAGCATTTGGAGAGCCCTCCTGCTTAAGCTATGGAGTTTTAACACTAAACTGAAAAGGACGCCAATAGCTGGCTAATTTTCAATATAGAGCTAATTTCTGCCTTATTCTTCCTTATTTTCAATATGTATATATGATGCATTGATGCAAATGTGGGTTATTCAATTCGGATGCCTGATCAATGGTTTTTTTATGCCTAAGAATGTGTATGTCAAGTATATGGTTGTATCATATATCGTATGCTTAATTTTCCCAAAAATATATGATTTAAGCAAAAGTGCTAAATGAGGCCTAGCTTCGCTATAGCTTGTCATAACTTCTAGCAGAGCTGCTGCTAAATGGCTTAACCCTCTATTTAAAACTTTGGTATGGATTATGTTTAACTCTATATTTTATATAGATTTAACCAAGGAGTCTACATGGAATGTTGGAAGCTATCTGGATAATTTCTTGAAAAAAATCAAATGGTTATTAAACATGGTAAATTCGATAAAAAATATCTTACATTTTAAATTCTCCTCTAAACAATTCATGAAAAAATATAACACCTAATTTTCCAAAAATAAATAAATATGTGGCCTGGCCTTACAATGCCTAGGTTCAATGACTAGTTGTTCAATAGCATGGCCTTGGCCCCCTAATTAAGCTAACAGAAATGTGACTCACTGGCTGGATGACGCTTTTTGATTTGACTTAATGGATATGTTTCTCTCTCCTTTTTTGGGGGGATAAAAAGGTAGGCTACAGTCTACCTTATGCATTCCAAACCAGACCAAAGTCTGAGAATAGTTCAGTTACAGAGGGGCTTCATTTTTACAGACTCTGAACGATGTGCTAGTTGGTGTGACTTCAGCAGCTCTTTCACGATACTACTTTAGAAAGTCTGGTAAGTGGTATACCTAACAACGATTACAAATGTGCTTATTTATAGACGTGGAATTTTCACAAATTTCTCTATTATTTTCAAATTAGGTCACACTAACACTAAGAGTATCTGTTTGCGATCATTTGTTCCTGTCAACATAAGGCCAATCTCTAGTCGACAGGTAAGTATTTCATATTTTCGAATAGTTTTGAAATAAATATTGAAATTAAATACTGTAACATGACCTTCATATTTTGTTAAGAATATACAATTTCTTTAATTTTATTCTTACAAACAATGAACAGACATATGTTACCAAGGTAGAGACGGGCAATTGACTTAGCAGCCTCATCTGCCCACTTCATATAGCTTTGCACAATGATCCCCTTGATTATGTTCGCAAGGCAAACAGATCTATGCACAGGAAAAAAAGTTCTTTAGAAGTGATGTTCACACAAGTGGTTGGTGAACTTTTGGTGAAATGCTTCGGTGTAAAGGTAGCTATATTCCGTGCTCCTTTTGTACTTTTACTATTCATATGTTTCTAAATACAATGCAACTTGCCAATGAAAGCAGATAGGAGCTTTTATCTCCCACCGCTTGGGCACACATACAACCATAGCCTTATCAAATGTCATTGGACCAGCTGAACGTATAACATTATGTGGACACCCAATTGTCTTCATGGCGACTAGCATCTACGGGCAACCACAAGTATGTCACTTATGTTCTTACATCCAAAATACAATCATCCTTAAGTTGCTTAATTATAGAAACAATGAAACATCCTCATACCGTGTGGTTTTTGTCAACACAACTCATCAACTTCATAATCAATAGAGCAGTACATATCACTCCCATATGTTAAATTTTGAATCATTGTCCTTCATTGGTATAAATTGTCGAAACCCTAATAAGCCGAGTCAAATATATTGTCATTTTCAATAGGTTACTATTTTTGCTCTATTGGTGCTGCCCACTTTTGGTGACAAGTCAGAACATTGCAAAAATTATGTAGTTGCCTTTGGTTGTTCGTGCATGGGCCCCTCAAAGTCTCGGGGCCTTCCTAATATTCGTAACGTGACTATATAAATACTAAGGGCATCTCTAACTTGGTCACCCATTTCCCTTATATGCCCAGATCGGATGATCCACACATTTTTAGGGCTTCAACGTGGATGCCCATTTTTCGCCGGACCAGGTCAAACATTGAAAATCCCACGGCTGGCCCAAATCTAGGGGATCACAAGGAGAGTTTAGACGTCCATCATGTTGTACTCTAACAGTTCACACCCACTCAAAACCCTTCCTGGATCACCGCTCCTCCTACCCGCACTGATCCTCAGTCGGCCAGCCCACTGTCCGAGCAGCCTATCTTGCTATTAAAATCGGCCGGCAACCCCCCAAGCACTAGCCTCAACCATTTCATCATCCCCACCCATCCGCGCCACTGCTACGCTCTACCCCTCGCCATGTCTCCCCATTTTTTTCCGCTCAAGCTCAAGTGATCCTACCGCCCCCCGATAACCGGTATAACAACTAGCTCTCCCCGCCGAATGGGCCTTCATGTTGTCTATGTGTAGTGGAGGTCACCACATCCAAGGAGAGGAGACGCGCACCGCTCGTTTGGTCGCCAAAGCAAAGAAGGAGGAGGTCACCGTTCTTCCATCCATGGATCTACTGGGAGTCACACACCACACATCACACCGCATATGTGAAGGAGGAGGAGGCGATCGCCACTGTTGAAGCCTGAGCCAAGGTCACGGTGTGCAAAGCCCATGACACCATTGATCGGGCCACTGAGCAGAAGATGGTATCTAGGATGAGCAGAGGCGTTTCCCGCTTCCATACCAAAGAAAGCAAACATCACTATTGCCGCACTAGTTGCCGCCTCGGTTGATAGTGAGGAATCCCACTCAGATGTGTCTGAAGAGGAGGTGTCTTCACGGGCTCCAACCATCATTATAATAGATTAGATTTATATTTCTAAGCTAAACGTAAGATCAAGATCTACTTATGAAAAAATGATTAAGGGATAGGTTGAATGGCCTCCATCTGGTCGGATGTCTACGGACACATCTGGACATGTCTGCAGACATATAGGGGTATTTGTTTGAGGATCCGTCATGGATATGCCCTAAAGGGTGCACACGGTCTGGAGGGTTTGCATTTTACTAGTTCATATCCTC